ATATTTTATTTTTAATATCACCTCAATTTCCACTCTTTAGCCTTCCCCCTTTCAGAGAGCCATCTTTTGTAACAGAGAATTTTAAAAAAAAAAGAAAACAAAAATGAAGAGAAAAAAATGCAAAATGGTCAATATATTTTTTAAAAGTTGATAGTATAAGCTACACTGCATATTTATGGGCAAACACCCCACCACCTCGGAAAAAAGTGAAAGGAGGTATGAAAAGGTTACATTCTTACTGAGGAACCCAGCACATACAGAGTTTTGGTCAGGGAATCACATAGATGGCAAGCTGATTCATAGGGCAGCCAATAGATATACCCTTTCCAAATGCAAAGGTACTTTTGATTTCATTACACTACTTAGAAAAGGAAATAGGAGAAGCAGCAGGGAGAGAAGGAGATGACAGGATGGCCCAAGATGTTCAACAATAAAAATATTCCAGCCACATCAAAGGAGTCCTAAAGTTGAATGGACTAAGTACCCCAAGGACTGGGGGACAATGTGATAAAATAAGTACTGCAATAAAAATATAACTACTGATACTTGTATAGGGCTCAGGACCAGAGCTTTGGAACCAAGGTGAACCTGAGAATCCATCTAATTTAACCCTCTCATTTTCTAGACAATGGACTCCCACAGGGTAAGTGACTTTGCCTAAGGCCACACAGCTAATAGGTGGCTTTGCAGTTTTCAACATGCTTTCCTATGTACTATCTCATTTGATCCTCACAATAGCCCTGAAAGGTAGATTAACTCAATCTTAACTAATGAAGAAATTAAACAACATGGCCAAGATCGTACAATCAGCAAAACCTAAGCTTTTTGATGCTTAGTTCTGTACACTCTCACGCCATGCTCTTCTGAGTCCCAACCTCACACAGAATCTAGCACAACACCAAGAATACAAATCGGCAGCACTGAATTAGGAGCTAGTGTGTTCCATCGGAAGTCAAGAACACTTGGGTTCAAATCTAGCCTCATACCCTTACTAGCTGGCCAGGTCTCTGCGCCTGTTTTGTCAACTGTATGAAGATAATAACAGCATCTACCACCTAGAGCTGTTGTGAGGACCAAATGAGATAACATATGTAAAGAACTTTAAAAACTTTAAAGTGCTGTATAAATTTGAGCTATTATCATAGCACTCAAAGATGAATGCACATAATTGGCAATATTACATGTAAGCGTCTGCCAAAGGCTTGAAAACAGGTGGCTCCCAAAGTAGATTAAACATTGCTCCCTGAAATTTTAATTACAGAATTTACTTAGCAAGACTGTTTTTTCTTTGTACTGAAAAAAAACTCAACCATTAATCCGGACTTGTTCAAATGAGAGCGAGTTCCCAATCAATGGGGTGCAAATAAGTACGGTAGGGCAGTAGTTCCTAGCAAAGAGAACCAAATAAGTCTATGCACCTGCCCAGGTAAGGTAGTCCTGATTGCATGGCTGCCATAAGCAAATCTCCTTTGAAAGACCTCCTTAATAAGCACAGACGCTGGGTTTTTCTCTCCTACCACTGCCATTCCCTTCCCTCTTGGGTAGGAAGCTTAAGTAGAAAGCCACTGGGTTATTTAATATAGTCAGTAAAGACAAAAACCATGTACACAAATCCACACATCTTGGAGAAAGCATCTGTAATGGGGGGGGGGGGTAAGAACCGCAGGGTGATAATGCAAAGCCTTAGAGGCAGCCATATGAACGCAAACTAATTACCATAAGTACTTAATGACAATGACCTCTGTAACAAAAGCCAGCAAAAGCTCAATACAGCAGGTGTGACATAGGCAGGCCAGGTAGGCCTTGCCTAAGTGAGGCAGACACTAAATAAACCATACTGTTTACCTCCTACGAGAGACAAAAAGGGAGGGAGGGAGAGAGGGAGAGGGAGAGAGGGAGAGGGAGAGAAAGAGAGAAAGAGAAAGAGAAAGAGAGAGAGAGGAGGGAGAGAGAGAGGGAGAAAGGTAAAGAGGAGGAAAGAGAGAAACAGAAAGAGGAGAGAAGGAGGGAGAAAGAGAGAGGAAGGAAAAAGTGAAGGGAGATGGGGAAGAGAAAGGGAAGGAGAGAGAAAGGGAGAGGGAGGGAGAAAGGGAGGAGAGAGAGAAAGAGAGGGAAAGAAAGTGAGAGAGAGAGGGAGAGAGCCAAAGAGAAGAAGACAGAGAGACAGAGACAGAGACAAAGATGATTAATTTCCATGGCAAACAAACATGAAAGAAGTCAGGAAGAAGGCCAGCCTTAAACAAGAAAAGTTTGGGAAACACTAAGCCAGAAAATAACCTGCTCCAAAGACATTAATTTCTTCTCGCTTTGTATTTTAACTATGTCATTTGAAGAACTTGTGGGAAAAGGAGGAAAAGCCCTTCTCCTTCCCTTCTGCTCCCTAGCTAAGAAGATTTATTCCAGCTCTAACTAGTAGATGGTGCCAGATCATTCTAGAAGATGGATAAGAGCAAAACTTGTGAGGCAGCGAGTGTTGGATTTGGGGTCGGAGGACCTGGGTTCAAATCACCACTGTGCCACTTTTACCAACTGTGTGACCTTGGGCAAATCATTCAACCTCTCTGAGCCTCAGTTTCCTCATCTGTAAAATGAGAAGGTTGGACTAATCAATGGCCTTTAAGGTCCCTTCCAGCTCTAAAGCTACAATCCTATAAGATTCCTAAAGAGGCAAAATGGGAGCAGGAGATTCAGATTTAGTAATGAGATGTTATCCTCACCATTCCCTCCCCATTCAAACACATCCAGAAGCCAGGAAAAGCTGAGACAGCATGTCCTCTACTGCCATCAGTACTATCAACTGCATTTGGATAAGATGCCACGGAACTTGACAGCAGGTATAAAGGCGAGATAAGCTCCATAGGGAAGAACGTTTAATGAACTCACCCTAAGCAAGGAAACCTCCAGCCATCGAGGAACACACAAGACTAACAACAAAACTTACACCGAGAAAAGGGAAACCCTCATTCTCACACATTCTCACAGATACGGGCACCCAGAATTCCAAGGAGATTTGTCATAATGGTCACAGATTGGACAGTCGTAGTCCCAAATTAAATATAACCAGTCAAAACTCTAACAGTTGAGATAACCAGTTTCCATCACCTGCCACTATGCATTCTTCCCCAATCCCTTCCCTTCCTCCAAAGTACTCCCTCACCTCTATCTTTCAGAATTAAAGGCTCAGCTCAGGTGCCAACTCCTACGAGAGGCCACCTCTGATCACTTCCAACTGTTACTACCCTCAAACTATCTTGTGTTTATTCATATGTGTACCTTTTGCATCTACCACCCCCACCCCTAATATAGAAGAATATAAACTCCTTGTGGGCAGAAATTGTTTCATTTTTCTGGAGTTCTTGGAATGCGAAGTGCAATGCCTTGTACACAGTAGACATTTAATAAATGTTTGTTGAATTGAATTTGCTCCTAGAGTGCTTTCTCTCTATCTTCATAGATTTTAATGAACCCCAATTCTCATCACAGCTTTGTCAACTATTCATTTGGTGGATAAAAAAACAATATCACTTCAATTACCTTAAAGACCCTTGTTGGCAATCTAACCTACAGAAGGAAGGAAGGAAGGAAGGAAGGAAGGAAGGATCAGGAAGTAAGGGGGAAAAGACAAATAAATAGAATAAATTTCTTGACCTTAGAAAGGGCTTGTGAACCACATTCTTAGGACCTCACTCAGAGTCTATTTACTTTAGACAGAATTTTAAGGAAATGTCTGAATGTAAGATTAGAAGCAGCAAATTAGAAGGGAGTAGAGAAAAGAGAGAGCACCACTCTATTTCTTCGGGAGGAGCAAGAAGTCAAAAAGCATGGTCATCTGGGTCCATTTGTTAGAAGGGCAAAAAACAATGTTCAACTGTGAAAGCACAAACCAATGGTCATGCTTGCCTCCCTCTGCATCCGTTCCTACAGGTCTTCCCAGCTTTCAATAATTTATACAATAACAACATCACAAAGCAAACAACTCTCAAAGTCATTAAGAACCCTGATCAAAGAAATGACCAATCATTATTCCAAGGGAAGAAAGATGAAGCACACTACCCATCTCCTGAAAGAGAGGTGACAGACTTGAAATGGACAATGAATCACACATTTTTGGATGTGGTCAAGGCAGGCATTTCCTGTGCTTTACTCTAAAAAATATTTGTCACAAGGGTTTCTGTTTTTATTTTTGTTTTTCCAAATGGAAGAGAGAGAAGCTGAAATGAAAAAAATGCTTCTTAATGGAAAAAAAAATTTAACTTCAAAAAACACCAATGGTCTTAATAATGATAATCCAAAATCATCAAGAAAAGTCTAAGTAAGTGTAATAGCAGCTCACTTTTCTATAGCCCTGTAAGGTTTACAAAGCACTTAACTCAGAAAAAAATCTTATGAAGTAGGTAGTACAGGAGGTCTTGTTATGTTCATGATATGGATGAGGAAATGCAGGCTAAGAGACAAAGTAACTTCCTCGGGGTCACACAGCTAGTGAATACTGGGCCTTGGGATTGAGATGCTGGTCACTCAATTTCAAATCTAGTGCTATTTCTGAAACATCATGCTGTCTCTCAAGCAGACTTTGTTTAAGGTGGCAAGAAAGTGAATAATTTTCCAGCCATCTGCCTGGAAAATCCATTTCTGTGGAACACCACACTTCCTCAATGATCCCAGGTACATAAAGAAGAGCTATTGCATCTTGGAGACAGAGAGATGCTGCCTGGTGGTTTTGAGCACATCCTCTGATCTGAAGATCTGTAATAATTCACAAAAGCCAATACCATTTCTCCAGGTCATCACAAGAGAAACATTTGACCACTCTGCTGTGACTGTAGGAAGGGGCTCCTGATTGGTCCTGTCTAAATTTGCCTACACTGGCACACTCACGTTAAAGCTGTCACAGGCTGGCCGTGCAGTAGAACCATGGGAAGATCTGAGGCCTCACACAGTGAACCAACAACCCCCAGCACACACAGCCCTCACCAACCACCACGAAACGTGCTCCTTACCTTTCTTTTATGATGATTTCACCGCAGGACTGGCAATAAAACACATAGCTCTTCAGGGCTTGCAGGCTCTGGTTCAAAGTGGAAACCAGTTCTGAAGGAACGAAAGGAAAGAGCAAATCATTCTGGCTTTAGGACATACACGTTAGCATCCATGTAGGGCAGTGAAAGCATGATGAACTCAGTGGGGTGAACCACAGGACCAGAGTTCAAATACTGCCTCTGCCACTTTTTCTCTGTGTGTTTTGTTGTTGTTATTTGGTCATTTCAGTTGTGTCTGACTCTTCGAGATCCCCTTTGGAGTTTTCTTGGCAGAGATACTGAAGTGGTTTGCCATTTCATTCTCTGGCTCATTTTACAGATAAGGAAACTGAGGCAAACAGGATTGAGTGACTTGCCCAGGGTCACAGAGCTAGTAGGTGTCCAAGGTTGGATTTGTACTGAGAAAGATACGTCTTCCTGACTCCAGGTCCAGCACTCTATCTCCACTGTACCACCTACCAGCCCCATTCTCTCTGTGACTCTACAAATCACTTAGCCTCCAGGGGCTTTTGTTTCTTATCTGTAAAATAAGAGTTACACTAGATCAAGGGTTCTTTACCTGAGGATGTCAGGAGGTCCATGAACTTGAATGAGGAAAAAAATGCATCTTTATTTTCATCTACCTGTCCTGAAATTTAGCACTTCTTTCAATTATTTAAGAACATGATTTTGAGAAGGGGTCAGCAGACTGCCAGAGGGAGCAGTAACAAAAAAAAAAAAGCTTCAGGCTCCCCTTGACCAGATGATCTCTAAGGTTCCTTACAGTTCTAGATTCTACAGTTTCTTACAGTTCTAGATCTGATCAAACAGCAGCATTAGACCCCTACCACCAAATAATGCTGACACCTTCCCCAGATACATTTTACAAATAATCTTTTGTTGATTCAACCAGAAGCAAACAATATAAAATGTTTTGCATTGCCTCCAAAAATGTCAAAGAACTTTGCAAGCAGCTTCTTAAGTATTTATTCCACAGGTTACTTGAAGTAAGATGTCACTCCTCTTATTTTGTAGAAAGAGTCTCACAAAAAGAGAGTAAGAGAGAAGCACAACATTTCAGACACTATCATGTCTACCCGAACAACAATCCCCTCTACAATATCTCCAAGTGATGATTCAGCCTTCAACTGAAAACCTCCTGAGAATGGGAACCTTTCCCTCCCGAGGCAGCCCATTAAACCAGTGGTGTCAAACTCAAAGAGAAATGGGGGGGGGGCCACTAAACATTACGTAAGGATAAAATAAGGGCACATGCAGGGGCAGCTAGGTGGTGCAGTACATAAAGCATTGGGCTTGGAATCAGGAAAATTCTTCTTCGTGGATTCAAATCTGGCCTCAGACACTTACTAGTTGAGTGACCCTGGGCAAGTCACTTAACTCTGTTTGCCTTAGTTCCTCACCTGTAAAATGAGCTGGAGAAGGAAATGGGAAGCCACTCCAGTATCCTTGCCAGGTAAACTCCAAATTGGGTCATAAAGAGTCAGATACAACTGAAAAACAACTGAATAGTGACTTTTTTTTTTTTGGAGGCAATCAGGGTTAAGTGGTTTGCCTGAGGTCACACAACTAGTAAGTGTCTGAGGCCAGATTTGAACTCAGGTCCTTCTGACTCCAGAGACTGTGCTCTATTCACTGTGTCACCTAGCTGCCCCTTGAATACTGACTTATAAAACCTCATATTATCTATGTTCTATTGTATTTTTATTTATTTTGCTAAATATTTCCCAATTACATTTTAATCTGGTTCAGAAGCACTCAGGAACATCACAGGCCATGAATGTGACACCTCTGTATTACACATTTGAACAGCTCTAACTACTAGGAAGTTCTTCTTGACATCAAAATTAAATTTGCCTTTATGCATATTCTATCTATTACTAGTAGTGTTGCCCTCAGGGGTCAGGCAGAACATGTCTAATCACTCTTCCACATAACAGCCCTTGAAATATAGCTCTCTTCCCACCCCATGTGTGAAGCCCCTCCCCACTAACTGTTCTCTTCTCCAGACTAAACAGCACTCTGAATGATCTTTTTTTTTTTCTTTGCGAGGCAATTGGGGTTAAGTGACTGGCCGCGGGTCACATAGCTAGTAAGTGTCAAGTGTCTGGCCTGAGACCATATTTGAACTCAGGTCCTCCTGACTCCTGGGCCGGTGCTCTATCCACTGCGCCACCTAGCTGCCCCTGGAACAATCTTATAAGTCACGGACTCAAGTTACACTGCTTGCCTTCCTTTGGATGTTCATTAGCTTATCTATGTCCTTCTTGAAATACAGTACCTGGAACTGAACACCAGATTCCAAATGTGGCTTAATCAGGAGAGAATGCTAGATTTCTCTCAATGCAACCAGTCTCATTTGGCTCACATCACATATCTTGCAAATATGCAGGTCTCTACATGCCCCAGGGCCAGGATGTTTCTCCTCTCCCCTCCCCTTCTCTCCCCTCCTTTCTAAGTATTAATGCAGCCACCATGGCCAGACCAGTAGATCTGTATCACTTTGAAAGTGATTTAGTAGAAAAAAAAATTACATCCATTTTAATTCAGCTGCAAAGAATTCAAAAGAAGCTTCAGTTTGCTCTAGAATATTATTTACTGACAATAAGAAAAAGTATCATTACATTCAGCATGTGCCTGAGGACAGAAGAGCTGGTTCCTAGTGAGCATTCTCTTTCTCAGAAGCAAGAATCAATTCTGATGAAAATTTCAGTGATTTGTATTATTCTTGGCCAAGCCACTTGCAAGGTTATATGAATGTAGTCAGTCCATTTTCTTAATTTCAGCTTCTCAGTCATCAGCAACAGAACAAAGGATAAGAGCACAATTGTTTACTTAAATTCTCTAGAGAAATAATCTTCTCTATTCCCCACTTCTACCCCTTCCCTGCCCCAGACCAGTAAAATGCAGCAATTTGGTTTATGTCACTCCTTTTTCCTGGAAATTCTTACAAAGTGAAAGAGTTGTTCCAGATGCAACAGATAATGGTGCAAAACTGAATAAAACTGGGCACAGAGAAGAAATTTGCAACCTGCACCAGAACTGGGAGTGCCCACACAGATGAAAGCATTTAAGTTAACTTTGGACTGAAGGAAGTCTAGTTCCACATTTCTTTCAAGTGAAAGAAATTTACAAATTACAAAGATAACAATACATCTTAACAGGGCTAAGTGATGAAGGAAACAAACAGCATTACTGAGCAGTGAGCAGCTAGAAGGGACCAGAGTAGGCTGTTCAAATTATGTGCTGTAAAGAGCTGTCCAAGGCTAAAAGGTCAATTGCCAGTATAGCAGTTCCATCTGCTGGTGAAACAAGAGAAACTTACGCTTTGTCTATTTTGGGGGTGAGGAGAGGAAATCCTTGTTTCCCCACCAAGAGAAGGGCTTTCAGAAATGGAACTCTTCAATAACTGGTGCCTGAGGACAGGCCTGATGCCTGTGATTTATATTAACATGTACTGGATTATTTTTTCACTGCAGATGGAATTCCACTTTCAGGAACCACAAAACAGTTGAGTGATGGTGGCAACTAATAATAAATTAAGCAGTATAATATTTGCTTCAAAATACAATCTTCTCAATAGTCAAATTCTAAAAGCTACCAATTGATAGGTGTGACATAGTGGATCAAGCACAGGGCTTGGAGCTAGTTAGAACCTGGTTTCAAATTCTGCCTCAGACCCTTGCTGTGTTACCTTGGGCAATTCACTTAACCTTTCTGGACCTCAGTTTCCTTATCTGTAAAACAACAGTGTGAGACTTGATGGCTAGCGTCTCCTTCAGTTTTAAATCTATGATTCACTGATTTAATCTGTGGTCTATTCAAATCCAAACAGAGGTTTCCTGTAATTGAAAACTCAGGTTTTTTGAAACTTTAGGGTTAAATGTAAGTGTTTCCAAAAATCAGCTCCTAAAACATATTCTGACTCAAGCTCATAGCATTATGCATCTAACAAGCAATTGCTAAAGGAATCTGTACTAGCATCTCCAGAATTTTTCCCAATCTGGGTCAGTATTCCCAGGGCTCACCTGGAAACCTTTTGCCTATTGTTGGGAATGGGACTACTGGTGCCTCATCAGCCTATTTATGGCCTCAGAACAACATCTGGGTATTTTTCTTCAGCCCCATTCTGAAGAGCATCTCTTAACGAACAGCCCTGTAGCCCTTCACAGCTGTCTTTGATGTCATCCTACCCACCTGTCCGATTCATTCCTAAGAACCGAACAGATTTTTCTCAGAATAAATAATCATGTGTCTTGAAGTTACCATTTAATAGATAAAGTTTAACTTTTCAGGACAGATACGATCTTTAATTCGTGATGAGGAAGTCCATGCTCTGACAGTATTTAGTGCTGATTTTACTCACTCTTATTCAAGTCAGCCTGAACGAGAAGTCTCATATGGATCCCATCTCCAGACACATTCTGCAACCCACGAAGGGAAGAAGGGACAAGCCTGACCTCTGGTGGAAAGTTGATTTCTCTGCATTGTTCAAGAGTTTTAATCTTCAGTACTGATGGAGTTATAGAAACATCCATGGGCAAGCTTCCTTGTTTTGGCTCTCTGTTGATTGAAAAATAAAATTTTTTCCCATTAACTCAATTTTAAGAATACCCATTAAGCAAATATAACATTAAATGCAGCTAAATCGATTAGAATGTACCAAATCATACTATGCTTCAATATTTCCACAGATCTATAATCTTATCAATGTGACTACTCCCTACAATGGTCCACACACATCTTCTCATCTTGTCCAATTCTTGTCCATGACTCCAGTAAATCCTCTAAGAAGACTGTCCATGAGTTTCCTTCTATCTTGAATTCTTCCATGTCTCCAACCCCTATAGTATCTTCTATTCTCATAATAAAGAAAGCTTATAATATAAGTTTATTCATATATAGGGCAGCTAGGTGACGAAGTGGATGGAGCACCTGGAGTCTGGAAGACCTAAATTCAAATCCAGCCTGGAATACTTACCAGCTGTGCGACCCTGAGGCAAGTCACTTAATCCAGTTTCCCTCAGTTTCCTCATCTGTAAAATGAGCTGGAGAAGGAAATGGCAAACCACTCCAATATCTTTGCCAAGAAAACCCCAAATAAGGTCACGTAGAGTCAGACATGACTAAAACGACTAAACAACAATTGACCCCAGCATTATAATGTGTGTTTTTGTTTTTGTTTTGGACTGGACCTGTAATTTCATTGATACAAGGAACTCTCAGGTGAGGCAACTACTTCTACCAACGCAGATGGGTACTTGCTTTACAACTTGTGGTATTCAAGAGTTGCCTGGGGCATTCAGGGGTTAAATGACATGAACATGATCACAAGTATGTGTGGCAAAATATAAACCCAGGGGGCAGCTAGGTGGAGCAGTGGATAGAGCACAGGCCCTGAAGTCAGGAGGACCTCAGTTCAAATCCGGCCTCAGACCAAACACTTGACACTTCCTAGCTGTGTGACCCTGGACAACTCACTTAACTCCAATTGCCTAAAAAAAAAAAAGAATCTGTGTTTCATCCTAGGGACACAGACTCTGTTTTCAAGGAGCTTGAAGTCTGATAGAGAGAAAGAATGAATATACAAATAATGCTGATACAAGAAGAATGAGACAAGTACAAAGGAGAGATTTAGGAAAAATACCAAAAGAGAGTTAGGAAAAATACCAAGAGATTTGGAGAGGAGAGATCACTTTCACCTGCAAGGAATGGGAGAAGAATGTGTCTAGGTAGGGGCGGGACCATTACAATTTAGTTTTGTTGAGAATAATTCAGGTAATTTATTATGCAACATTTTTATAAAAAACATTTTTAATATACAACAGAAAAAGCTTTACAAAATTTCACAGGTTTAACATCATTTTTGTGAGTCAACTTAAATATAGTGGGGCATAGGATCATAGATCTAGAAATAGAAGGCATTTCAGAGATCATCTAGTCCAGCAATGTTATTTCATAGAAGAAGCAGGCCTTTGAGTAGTTAGCTTTCTTCAAATAAAACAGCATGTAAGTAACAAAGCCAAGACTTGCAGGGGAAGGATGATTTTAACAACTTAGATCAAATTTGTTTAGGTTTGGGTTTGGTTTTCCACTTGTGGTGGAATTTCTGAGAAAAATTCAGAAATGCAAAATCATCAAATCATTATTATGTATCTACTTCCCTACTCTCTAATTCTGGGCAAATCAAATCCTTTGAACAAAAAGAATGTAAACTAACACAACTTTTCACATTGTTGAGTTGTTTTAGTTGTGTCAGTCATGCCCAACTCTTTATGAACCCATTTGAGGTTTTCTTGGTAAAGATACTAGAATGGTTTGTCATTTCCTCTCCAGCTCATTATACAGACAAGGCAACTGAGGCAAACAGGGCTGAGTGATTTGCCCAAGGTCACACAACTAGTAAGTATCTGAGGCCAAATTTGAACTCAGGTTCTTCAGACTTCAGGGCCGGTGCTGTATCCATTGTGCCACCTGGCTGCCCCTTTTTATAGGGAAAATATAGATCCAACTAACAACATAGCTGCATCACGCATTCAAATCCAGAAATAAAATCACAAAGTCACAGAATATCCTAACCTGGAAAACTCTTAATCCCACTGCCTCATTTTACAAATAAGAAAACTGCTTATTGTGAAAAACTGCAATCTAGCAAAAATGTGCAGTCCCTTACTAAATATCTCACTGGACCTGCTGTGCTAAAATTCCAGCTCTTATACTTACTTTATGATTTATTGATGATACTTTTATGATCATGGACAATTCATTCTCTTCTCTAGTCCTCACTTTCCTCATCTGTAAAATGAGGAATCTAGACTAGATGTCTCTAAAGTCTTTTCCGATCTTAATTATGTTAATGAGCCTATAAATAATATATCTGTTGCAAATAGCCAAAAACACAGGCTTATGAAGTAAGAAAAAACTCTCCAAAGTCTGTGACTTTTCGTAAGTGTCCTGCTCTCCTCATAATATAATAACATAATATAATACACAGCTATAGAAGGTTAGAGCTGGAAAAATCTTTAAGATGACTCACCTTTCAATTTATAAATGAGGAAAATGAGACGCAGAAAAGCTACATGACTTGCTCAAAATCACATAGCCGGCTTTATCAGGTTAAAGTTAAGTTGTCTGATGATCACCATTTAGCTAGCACAGATCAGATTTGTTGGCATTGTTTTATTTTCATTTTTTTATTTGTAGGTTATTTCAGATTTACACTGATATAAAATATTTAAATTATCCTGTATCCATAGCAATTAATCCAACCTCAATTAGGAGAACAGGAAAGCTCCTTTCCAATTCTCACATGCATTGGTTCACTTTCATACAAAACTAGTTTGGGGAAGATCTAACCAAGCAAATTTATCCAAAGGATATTTAAGAAGACAACAAGTAGAAAAAAAAATATTAAAGATCTGCAAAGATTTTTATAAAAAACTTTTTAGCTATTAAATACAAGAGAGCTACCACCATTGGACTTCAACATGAACCCCAGAGAGGAGAAAAAAATGTCATTAAAGGGAACAAAAATGGGAAAATCAGCTGATTCAGATCAAGTGTATGGAGAGGAGACCCATGCTGGCAGGTACACAATAGGGAAGGTTTTATGGAAAATTAATAATAATAACTAATATTATATATTTATATAGTGCTTACTATATGCCAGACACTGTGCTAAGGGTTTTACAATTATCATCTCATCTGATCCTCACAACAACAATCCTGGGAGGTAGGTGTTATTATTATTTTCATTTTACAGATGAGGAAACTGAGACAAACAAAAGTTAAGTGACCTGCCCAGAGTCACACAGCTAAGAAGTATCTGGGGCCATACTTGAACTCAAGGCCCAGCCCTCTATATCCACTATGATACCTCACTACCTCAATATTCACAATACATTTAAAGGAATGTAAGATATAAAATGGGAAAAGTTTTGGACCTTATTAATACCTTTAAAAGGTGAATTGAGATAACAACTAACAACCTACTTTCCCATCTACATAAATGTTTATAAAAATCATCTGAATCCTCACCAAGAACATCTTCAGTGAGGATACACTAAGAGGAAGGCTTTGAGAGCAATATTACATGGTAAAGCACATCTCTGCCATCACCAAATTGGCTAAAAGATGTCAGAAATATAAAATTCCACTATGCTTACTGTTACTTAATTATAAAAAAAATCATTTGACCCAACTATAAAGGTTCTCTTCCAATAAGGTGTTTCCTGTATGTATATATATATATGTGTGTGTGTGTGTGTGTGTGTGTGTGTGTGTGTATACATATATATATATATAAATGTGTGTGTGTATATACATATATATATAAGTGTGTGTGTGTATATATACATATATATACATATATATATACACACAGTATCATTCAAGATAAATTAAAGAGATGATACAACATGAAAAGCATCTATTAGGCACCTACTTCAGACTAGCGCTTGAGAAACAAAGAGAATGAATAAAACTGTCCCTACTTGGAAAAGACTTTACCTTCTAATAGGGAAGACCACAAATATATATATAAGCATACATAAAGAATAAATATAGAGTCAATACAAAGTAGGAACAAGCAGTCAGGAGAGCAGGAAAAATTTCATGTAGAAAAGGTGGTGTCTAAGTTGAATCTTGAAGGACAAAAGGAATTCTATGAAGCAGAAGTCAGGCCAGGTGAGCATTCCAGGAATGGAGGGTAGCCACTGAAAAGGCACAGAGATGGGAAATGAGAGTGTCACACCAGACGATCAGAGAAAAAACTGGCTTGGTTGGGTCATTGACTACAGGATGGGGAGGAACACACAACGAGGTTGGAAAAATAGGTTGAGGTTAGGTTTTAAAAACTAAACAGAGTGGATAGAGCACCAGCCCTGGAGTCAGGAGGACCTGAGTTCAAATCCAGCCTCAAACATATAACACTCACTAGCTGTGTGACTCTGGGCAAGTCACTTAACCCCAATTGCCTCACAAAAAAAAAAAGAAAAGAAAAAAAAACCTAAACAGAGGAATTCATACTTTATCCTAGAAGCATTAGGAAACCACTGCAGTTAATTAAGTAGAGGCCCTTCAAAGAGTATTAGATAAAAAGGGGATTCTCTATGGACAGTAAGAATCCAGATGACATCAAGCTTTAGAACACTGAAGATCATCTTAAGAGATCCATAAGAACTCCAAAGAATTTGCATTAACATGCACATAACAAAAGCCAAGTGGATGAAGAGTGTCTATTTCCTATATTATGACATACAAGTGAAAAGACAACTTATAAAACTTACATATATGTATATCTACACATGCACATACATATGTATATATGTGTGTGGATGTATAAAGATTCATATACTTATGAGAGCTATGTAGACATATAGATCTATATCTACACATTAGTATAAATATGGATGTGGTTGTAGATATAAATAATATCCATATAGAACACACATCAATATATATGAATGGGACCAAAAGTACCCCAGAATTAAACAGAACAAGTCAAATTGGCTTTAGAAAATTACAAAACTCCTTTAATGATAGTTAACTTCTTCAAGAAATAAAAGGTCATCTTTTTAACACCAACATTTTACTGGTAGTGTTATATGGATGCAGGACATGAAATATAACTCTAAATAAATGAAAATACATATCACAAAGAGGACAATGAAAAGGCTCATTGTGGGTGTGAGCAGGGGAAAACATGCAACAAAAGGAAATTAAAAAACAGGAGCAAAAGATGTTACCAGAGAAATATAGATTTTAAACTGAACGCATTCATCAGCAAGCATTTATTTAGTGCCTGTTAAGTACACTAGCCTAAGTTCTAGGCACCTGGGATACAAAGACTAAAATGAAATGTTCCTTGCAGTCACAGAGCTCACATGATATTGGGGAAAACAACATGTACACGTGTAAGTAAATATAAAGTATATACCAAGTAAGTAAATATATGATAATTGGCTGAGGAGGCATCATCACATCACCGAAGGAGAAGTAGTAAAGGGCTCATGTAGGAAGTGGACTTGGTGATCTTTGAAGGAAGCTAGGTACTAGGTGGTACAGCAGAAAGAGTGCTAGACCTGGAGTCAGGGAGATCTGAGTTCAAATCCAGCCTCAGACACTTTCTAGCTGTGTGACCCTGGGCAAGTCGCTTAACCCTGTTTGCCTCAGTTTCCTCATCTGTAAAATGAACTGGAGAAGGAAATGATAAACCACTCCAGTATCTTTGCCAAGAAAACCCCAAATGGGGTCATGAAGAGTCAGAAATGACTGAACAACAAATAAAATTTGGTTTTTTTCTTATTCGTTTGAAAAGGTAATGGAAAGATAGTGTACAGTTAATTTATGTGGACTGCCAAAAAGACCAGCCCTGCTGCACAGAACAGTGTAAAGAATGCTGAATTTGAAGTCAAGGGACCTAGAGTCATACTATCTCAGTGTCTCTTACTACCTGTGAAATCATTTCCTCTGCCTCCACCAGTTTCCTTAACTACAAAATAACAGGGATGAACAAGAAGTAGTAAAGTCTCATTTGTTTCTAATCCTGTTTTAATAAAACTTGCCCTGGGACTGGAAAGGTAACCCGGGTGAGGAATAACAAAGGTGAAGAGGATACGGACACACCCACAGCCACTCATCCCACCCCCTCCATTCAAAGGGCTATTTGGAAAAGCACCGACGGGTAAAATAGGTTAGTAGGGACTCATATGCCAATAAAACATTGGCTTGACACGGGATATTTTCCGGACAAGTTCCACTTTTTTTTTTAAAACAAAAATTAGTCATCTCTTCACAGACCAAGTGACACGAGCAAGTCAGGATAATCCTTTTTATCAACATAAATAGCACTTTGTTTTGGAAATATTGTAGAGATTCTAGTGGGAAAAATAAAAAAAAACTATGTATCACACTTTAGAGCTAAATTCAAAGGAGGATCGCGGACTGCGGCTAACGAGGAGGAGGGGCTTAGGGTTAGTGAGTTTCAGAAGACAAAGACCAGAAGAAGAAAGGAAGGAGAAGGGGAGGGGAGAAGGGAGGGCGGAGGGAGAGAAAAGGTGGCGACTCCTGGAGCTTCTCCAGCCAGAATGACGTCAGAAACAACTGCTCCCATGCGCGTGCGCCTTCACCAGCTAGGCGTGCGCCCGCCTCCAGAAGCGTCAGCGAGTTAAACGTGCTACGGAGGTCTCCAGAGCCCGTGCACGGGCTAGTGGCTCAGCAGCCACGCGTCTGGTGCCCCCGGCTCGTCAATTTACGCAAATTTGTAACTTTTTCCTGCCCAGTCAAATCTGCATGCTGGGGGAGGAACAGGATGCCCTGGAAGGGATCCAGGGCGCAAATCCATAGATAGTCCTCCCCTCCCCACCCTTCGCTCGGGCGCCCAGCCCCTTCCCTGGCCCACCTACTGTAGGGCTAGGAACTGAGACGTGGGTAGCTTTGTACCGGATAATCAGCAGTGCGCTCTGCAGCCTCTTCCTAATCTCCAGGAAAACGTCCATTGGCAGCGTCCCCTGGCTTCTCTTCCTGCTGAGTAATGAACTGGGTGGGGGTGGGGAGTGTTGGAAAGGAGGTAGGGGTGCAGTGACTCACGCTACCCCAGCTCGAGAGCCCACGGAGGCGCGGCCAACCCTCACCAGCAGAGGAGTAGGAGGAGCGCGCTGGGCGCTCCGCCCTATCCGGGACGGCTTCTAGCACCGAAGGCTGCGGCTGCTCACTGCAGCCTGGACTGGGTACTACGCTGCCTAGCTTGGGGAGGAGAGCAGGGGTTAGGGGAGTGAGTGTCCAGGGGACCAGACGGAGCTGTAAAAACTGATGGGATAGGGGCAACTAGGTGGCGCAGTGGATAGAGCACCGGCCCTGAAGTCAGGAGGACCTCAGTTCAAATCCGGCCTCAGACCAAACGCTTGGCACTTACTAGCTCTGTGACCCTGGGCAAGTCACTTAACCCCAGTTGCCTTAAAAAAAAAAAACTGATAGGATGAATGAGTAAGCAATTGTGGGTGCTTCGTTTGTCTAACGCCATCGTATGAAACTCCTTCGTTTTCTTAGGATCATAAGATTTAGAGTTGTTGGGACACCAAAAGCAAACCCTTCATTTAACAGATGAAGAAACTGAGGTATCGTGACATGGTGGATAGGGTAATAGATTGAAAGTCAGTCAAAAAACATTTATTGATCACTGTGTGCCAGGCAGGCATTGTGGTAAGCCCCTGAGGATACCTAGAATGGCAAAAACTTGAATTCTGCCATCAAGGAGTCATCCTGTTTTAGACTAAGCAAGTCCTTTAGTCTCCGTTTCTTCATCTATGAAATTAGTTATTCGGTGGCCTCTTCAGGTCCCTTTCAGTTCTAAATCTATGATCCTACAAGGCCCAGAAAAGGCTTTTGAGTAGGATCAAACAACAGACAAGTTGCGGGATCCAGGATTTGTAAATGTTGTTTTCCCCCAGGGAAAATTACTATTTGGTTAATGATAGATCATATTTAATATGAAACTTTGCAGTTGATAATTTCCTCTCAGCAAGCCTATGAGAGAAGTATTCTTATCCCCATTTTACAGATAAGGAAACCGAAATTTCCAAGAGGTTAAATGATTTACCCAAGGTCATAATGTTAGTAAAAATCTGAGCCAGGACTTAAGCCTTCAACTTTAGTCACCCTTTCCACCATTTTACACTATCTCTCACTGATTTGGTGACCACAGGGATTGCCTGTTTCAACCCCCTCCTTTCACAGATGCACAGAGGCCCCATAGACATTAAGAGACTTTTCACACAAATAACGCATAGGTTCCCAAAGTGGGCAATACCACGCCCTGGGGGACGCTGGAACAATCGAGGGGGGCAGTAGTAGTCTCCTGTGCAATTGGGGGTGTTGAATAAAAATAAGGGGGCAGTGGAAGCATAAGGAAAGAAGAGAAGGGAAGAAAATTTTGAAAAACCATTTGTACATGTTTCATCTGTTGTATAACAGTATTTTCCAAATAAACACACAAAATGCAAGTTATAACCTGTCAGAGGATAACACATTGTTTTGTTTTTGTTTTTGCCTAGGCAATAGGGTTAAGTGACTTGCCCAGAGTTACACAGCTAGTAAGTGTCAAGTGTCTGAGGCTGGATTTGGACTCAGGTCCTCCTGACTCCAGGGCCAGTGCTCTATCCACTGCATCACTGAGCTGCCCCAGGATAGTGCATTGTTGAAAAATCTGGCATGCATCTGCAAGAATATGTGCATGGAATGACTTGTTTATAATACCATGCTATAAGGGCAATATTGTGTCATCAAAATGTAAATGCAGAAAAAACTACAAACTTGCAATCAATTATTAAATTTAAGATGAGTCATTTTTTTAAATTTATATTTTTTTGAAAGGAAACAAATTTTTTAAAAAAATCTGTTAAAAGATTAAAAAAAGTAGATTTCCAGGGGTGTGCTAAGTAATTTTTTTTAAAGGGGTGGTAAACCAAATAAATTTTAGAACCTCTGAATTAGGGACAGGGCTGGGATTAAAACTCCAATCCTCCTTACTGTTGGACAAATCATATAACCTTCTGGGGCACCAAGGATAAGAAGAGAAGCAGGTGAATAGGGGAAAAAATTGTATCAAATTTGTTATTCAAAATACATGAGCTAGTATATAAAACCAAAAGTTATTCACCATTAAACAAATGGCAAAAGGATATATACAATTCTCAAAAGAAAAATTACATACTATTAATAACATTATTAAAGTGTTCCAAATCACAAATAATATGACAAATACAAATCAAAACAACCCTGATGTTTCACATCACACCCTGTAAATTGGCAAAGATGACAAAAGAAAGGAATAATCTGTGTTGGAGGGGTTGTACACACTAGTGCATTGTGTCAACCTCCAGAGTTCAGTCTAAGAAAGACAAATAGAATTAGATTATATGTATGTTTATTTCTCTGAAGCAGGCAGGCATGCATGTGGAGATGCAATTGGAACTGAACTTTGGGGGTAGGCTACACAGATCATAAAGCCATGAAGCAAGGAAGTGCCCTGACTCAGTGTCTGGCCTTTTTTCAGCCAAGATTACAGTTCCCAATAAGCAAGGAAGTTCCTCTAACTCAGAATGTCTATGCATGCTTAATCCGGTTAGTGGTTGCTGACAAAGCAGGAAGATTTTTGAGTTCACTCAGCATCACAAAGGATTATTGGTATGTCAGTCCAGGAAGGCTCAAATTGTCCTCTCTGATTGGCCAGTCCAGGTTTTCAACCTTCTTTGGGTGATGAGGGCCTCAAATGGGTCTCACAATTGTTAGAGCTGTGATCATTACAACAATTTTTGGAAAGCAATTTGGAATTATGTAAATAAAGTGACTAAAAGTTCATACCCTTGACCCAGAGATTCCAGCATTAGGTTTACACCCCAGTGAAGTTATTAATAGTGAAAAAAGGCCCCATATACACCAAAATATTTATAGCAATACTTTTTGGGATAGCACTCACTTGGAAACAATGTCCATTGGTTAGGAAATGGCTAATTCTTCTAAGCCTTCAATTTCTTCATCTTTCAGATGAAGGATTGCATTAGATAACCTCTAAAATCATTGTAATACAGCGGAATGAGCATTAGACTAGAAATCCGGGACCATCTCCAGTCATCTTGATCTATATCTTGCCACTGGACGCAGATGGCTCTGGAGGAGAGAATGAGGCTGGTGACTTTGCACAGCCCTCTCTCACTTAAATCCAGTTCACTTGCAAGCCATGGCATCATCTTCCTGATGTTACTGGTCCTCTTTGAGAAAGAAGGACAAACAACAAAACTAGGGATAGGGAATATCGTTTGAATGCTACCTCCAACTTATTAAAGTTATATAATATAACTTCTATAAGTCTCTGTTTCCTCATCTGAAAAATGGGGATAATATCTGTAGTACTTTCAAGACCATAGTGAAGCTCAAATGAGATAATGTATTTAATCTGCTTTGAAACCATTATAAAATGTCACCTATTATTATCTCACAGCTCTGGCAATCAATGAGTCCCCTAATGGTGCCCCTTGTACTCCATTATGGACAAAATCTATGACTTTGGTCATCTAACCTCTAACTCACATGTTTCCATCAATAGGGACTCCATTTAAAGAGGGCACTCAGCACAGTTTTTCTCCCCATTAACCCCCATTACTCCCGATTAAACTTTTCTGGAACTTCCATAATACTACCACAGTAACTTTCCCCCCTCTTCTGGCTTTTCATCTTCCTTTTGTGGACTGCTCTCCCCACCACTCACCGCTAGATTGTAGACTCCTTGAGGGCACAGATTGTCTTTCTTTCATTTGTATTTGTATCTCTAGCACTCACCACTGGATGCCTGGCACTTAGTAGGTGCTTAATAAATGCATATTGACTACTGACAGGAAGATCACTACCCATTTCATTTTGGACCTAGTGGTATCAAAAAGTACTTTGGTATCCTTTAGTATATATGTGCCAAGAACTTCACAGCCATTTTATTATTTGTCTTTTAAGGAGTGGTTAAGACAGTTAAAGTACAAAATACCAAAACCCAGTGAATCAAGTTAAGAAAAAAGAACAAATGAAGCAGAAGAGGTGACTAGCACAGACAAGTTAAGAATGGAGTGTTAACCTGAAATAAAGAAAACTACTAAAACAGCAAAAACTAGGGTCTTCTAACTGAGGCAAGGAATTACAATCCAGGGCCACCAGGCAGAACCAGGGAGCAGGAGTGCCCAAGATGGGCAGAGGTGGGACAGGTTTAATACACTTCAGTAGAGAGGGAGTCTCATTGGAGGCACAGCCTGAAGAAGCAGTTTCATAAGTTGTTTTCCATAACAACCAAAAGCCCTTGGGGAAGGCTAAGGGAGCCTTGCTAGTGGTGCTCCTTTCTTTTTTTAATGGTTTCAATAGTTCTCTTTTGAGAAAGGAATTATGATTTTCATATTAATTGATATGATATTTGTAATGAATATACTAATAATTTAGATTTTTCAGAGCTGCCTCTCCTGGCTTGTGAGTCAGTACCATACAACACAGCTTGAAATGATCAATCAAACTCTTGACAAAACTCTCACAGTCACTGCATTCTTGTGCCTATGTATCTTAAGTGAAGCAAATCAAACATTGGAGAACCTGTTCCTGTTGCAGAATTCTGGTCCTGTGCCCCACCAAGTAATGACCTCCAAGGAGCTGAAACAATACTGTTCCCACAGGACTCCAGAACACCTGTATTGTGGACTTGTGGGCTTGTCATGGGAAACCAGTCAGGCCCTGGAAATGATTGTTTGTAATTAACCCTCCACTCTCCCTTCCCACTTGTGATTTATGTATAAAACCTCTGCCTTCACTACTGATCAGGAGAATTCCTGATTTGCAAATCTGTTCTTCATAATGAAACTAATTGATTAAACTGCTGCTTGATTACTGGCTCTTTGTCTCTAGCCTGCTCTGTTTTATCATTCCCAGGTTAGAGACTGGCTCGGTAAAATTCTGTTAACACTTTTAACCGGGTTCAATCTCCCTCAGGCAATTTG